ATTCAAAAAAATAGGATGAAATAAGTGAAGAAATGCAGAACTTCTCCAAATTCCTAAATGTAGAGTGCTTAGCACCAAGTATTTTTGCATCCATTCTAAGATGATTTAAAAAAATAAAATAAAAAGGGGTGGGGGGATTGGGATCTGGATCAAGGAGGGCCTCGTGGGCCAGGGGGATATCCCAATTCGGTCTTGCAACCAATAGGAAAAGTCCCCCTAAATCTGAATTAGCATTTCGCCTCTCGATCACAATACCCGGAGCACACAAATCGGGATTGTTACTGGTTTCCCAAAAGGCCAGAACCCAGATAGAGTAAGGCTGTTTGTTTGTTTTTTCTTTTCTTTTCTTTTTTTTTTTAAAGGAATTTAAAGGGGGTTTAGGAGGAGACCGTTTAGGGAAGAAAAGTGGGATTCAGGTCTTCAAGTTGTGTGTGTGACGCGTCTTTGTGTGGAGTTCAGCCTGAGAACCAGCGCAGTAAAATGAGCGCTGGGGGTGGAATTGGCTGAACTGCAGGGGCCCCCACCGGAGGGTCGCGAGGGGCGAGGGGTCCCGGCCGGCGGCCGGCGCGGGCCGTTTGGGTGCGGGAAGGAGGGTGCGGGGCGGAGGGTCCTGAAGGCGAGGGGCCGGGGCCGGGGCCGGGGCGCCGGGGGCCTCCCCCACCAGCGCGGGGCTGGCCGCGGCCGGGCTGCGGGCCGCTTCCAGGGGGCGCCGCTCCCTCCACGTCCGGCGGCCGAGCCCGGGGCGGCCGGAGCGGCCGGGGCCCTAGGCCGCGGGCGGAGACCGGCCTCCCTCGTCCCCGACCCCGCGGGGGGCGCCGGGGCGGGAGGATGCGCTCGGCCATTCCCTCTCCCGGGCCGGGGCCGGGCCCGCGGCGCCCCGACTCCCCCTCCGGCGTCCGCCCCGCTGGGCCTGCGGTCCCATCCCCGCCGCCCCTCACCCCGCCATCCCGGCTTCCCGGCCCCGCTCCCCGGGGCGGCCGGCCGCCGCGGCCCTCCGCCCCTTCCCGGCCACAGACCTGCGGACCGCTCCCCGGACGGGATGGCCGCCCGCGCGAGAGGCGGCGACCGGTGCGGGGCCGCGGCGACGGCGGCGCCCCCGGCCCCTCGGCCCCGCTCCGCCCGCTCCGCGCTCCCGGCCCCTCGGCCCGCGCCCCCGGCGGCCCCGCTCCCCGCAGCGCGCGGCCCGGCCCCGGCGTCGCTCTACCTACTTGCAGCGTCTGCTCAGCGGCCATCACGGCGCGTCCCGGGCGAGGGCAGCCCGGGGCCTCGGGCGGCCGCTCTCGCCTCCGCCCTGGGCCGCCGCGGCCGCCGCTAGGGCGCGGGGCGAGCGGGAGGCGCCCCCATGGCCGCCGGCTCCTCGCCGGCCCGGCCCGGCGCGCGCTGCTCGGCGGCCGCACGGACCGGCTCCCTCCGCGCCGCCCGCTCCGCGACCGCCCGCCGCCGCCGCCGCCGCCGCCGCCGCCGCCGCCGCCGCCGCTGCCTCCGCCCCTTCCCTTCCCGCCGCTCCCGCTCCGCCGCCCGGGAGGGAGCGCGGCCGGCGAACCAGCACCTGCTGCTGGAGATCACCGCGAACTGAAACAGGAAACCCGGCCGCGGGGAAAACCCGGGAGGCGTGGAGCGGGCGAGGGGAGCTGCCGAGACCTGTCCGCCCGACCCGGCCCGGCCTTCGGGGCTGCCCGCCGGCCCGGCCTCCGCCCCCCGCGCCCCTGCCCGGTCCCCACCTCCCCCGCCCGGGGTCCCCACCTCCCCGGCCGGGTCCAGCGGGCGCCCGCCCGCCCGCCCGCCCGGCAGGAACACGCATCTTCCCCCCCGGGCGGCCCGGGAAGTCCGGGATCTGACTTCTCAGGGCCAGTTCCCCGGCGCCGTTCGCTTATTTTCCATATTATCCATAAATCGTGATGGGGTAGACCCACGGCCATCGGCCATCGTTAGCAAGACCAGGCAGGGTATTTTTTAAACCCATGGAGCTGCTAGGATTGCTTTCCTGGGAAACAAGGACTTGTTTCAGCTAGGAAGCTGGCCTGGTTGGAAATGGCACTACTATGTCAAAAATCGAGTTTGAAACCTGGAGAATACATCCAGATCTCTTTTGGGGTTGGCAAGGAGACAGCCTTTCCACACTGGCTCCTGAGCTGCGAGGGTGAAAAGCAATGGGAACAGCTTGTGTGAACCGTACGACCTCCAGCACAATTCAGGTCAGCATTTTTTTCAGAAATGATCCAGGACTGCAATTCACAGGCCTGTGGGATTGTCACCCAGGCGCCTCACCGCTAGCCCGGGACAGGATGCAGCCCCTTTTAGAGTGAAAGGGAAGGGGACTTCTGTGGATTGCACCCCTACTGTGTGCCACACACTAGGGAGCCTGGTCTAACTGCCTTTTCTCATTTAAGGTTCGCCACAGCCATATGGTAGGATCCCCTCTATCAGCCAGAAAACAGAGGTTGGGGGAATTTCCCCCACATGACACAAAGCTTGAATATGAAGGATTCAGATCTGTTTGCATCCAGAGCACATTTTTGTTTCACTGGAACAGAAATCGTGCCTTTGATAACACTTTCTCCCCTTCAAGAGAATTATTTCTTGCCTCTCTGAATTGTTTTCCATGGGGCATGTATGGTTTAAGCCTGGACTAGTTAATCGTAGTGATATCCACGATGCTTATTGTGGCTCACACTTTGTATTTTCTAGTTTAATGTTCTCTTTAAAAGAAAATAAATCTGCCTTGATGGAGCAGCACAGGGGTCCTCACCTATTTGGCTGGCTTCTGTTGCTCTTTAGCTATTGATGATGGGGTCCCAGCTGAGAGCGCTCACTGGCTGGTGTCTGCGGGCACTCTAACACCCCTGAGATGAAAGGGGAGCCTCTCACTGAGCCTGCTTCCCACTTCAGTGGGGGGTAGTAGATAACACAGCTGGCTCGTAGTCTTTTTGAGCACAGAAAAGCCCTCCGGTCCCCATTTTTGGTCCCATCTTTAAGATCCTTAGGAAGTCTGGCAGCCTGCTCTCTGCAGCCAGGTTTCTTGTTTTTATTGGCAGGAAGGGAAGCTTGCTTTGGAAAAGCATCTCCTATTACTGAGCCAAACCCTCAGAAGTCTCTTGAGCAGCACTAGGGAGGGGTGGGGACTTAGAAAGCCTGCGTGGCTGACAGCAGTAAGTGGTGGCATCATTGGCGTGATTTTTTAAAAGCCAGGGAATTCCCCTACTTCACAATATCCACCCATGCAATCAACTGTATTTCCCTCAACGGACTCAACTAAATTCCACTCAATATTGATTAAGCATAGCTATAGATCAAGGCACTGTATTAGGTCCTTTAGAGGTAAGAGACTGGATAAGTATTATAACTGCTAACATTTAGCGAATGCCTACCATGTTCCAGGGGGTATGCTAAGCACTTTGCATGTGTTCTCATACAATTCCCACAAACCCCCCATGAGAGAATAGCTATCACAATGTCCATTTTACAGGTGAAAAACAAACAAACAAACAAACAAAAGACCCAAAATACAGTCAGCAACAATACAAGGATTGACATGTAGGCAGTCTGACACTAGAATCAGGAACCTTCTGTGAATAAGGTACTGCCCTTTATGACCTTCCTCTGTCTTTGGGGAGATGAAAACAGGAAACTTAAAAGAAAACAAGATACTTTACAAGTGTTCAATGTGTGTCTGGGTAATAAATGCAACGAAGGTTCAGAGGACAAAGGAATCTCTTTAGGTTGGAGTGGTTGGGGAGTCTGTATAGAAGATGACTCTGCGCCGAAACCGGTTTGGCTCAGTGGTAGAGTGTTGGTCTGCAGATTGAAAGGTCCCAGGTTGTATTCTGGTCAAGCATGTACCTTGGTTGCAGGCACATCCCCCGTAGGGGGTGTGCAGGAGGCAATCGATGTTTCTAACTCTACTCATCTCCCTTCCTCTCTGTTAAAAATCAATCAATATATATATATATATAAGACGACATTTGAAACAAAAGTCAACCGAAAATCTGGAGCAAAAGACCAAAATTGCACAAAAATTACCTGCAGATCTTGACGGCAAAGTAAGTCTTTTCTTTGAAGTGAGGGGTAGTCTTATACAGCGAATATAGGCCTAAACCTATGTTTTAACTGTAAAAAAAAATAATAATAATTAGTGGGTTGTCTTATACGCCGGAAAAATACGGTGTGTGTGTGTGTGTGTGTGTGTGTGTGTATATATATATATATATATATATATATATATATATATATATATATTTTATTTTTTTTTTAAAGAAGAAGATGACTCTGACTTTCAAAAAGGGGCATGCAAGCTAGAAACTGTTGAGGAATCATGTTTTGCTAAGCAGAGAGTATAAGGAAGGGCATATCAGTGGGATGGCATGAAGCAAGAGTGTCAGGAAAAACTGAAGATCAAATTTTTAGTGTCTTATAGCACAACCTCAAAATAGAAATCAGCCAAGTATGGCCCATTTGCTTTTACCAATTCTGGATAGCCAATCTGCATTTGAGTTATAAAGGCTAGTCTGTACCTTGCATTGTGACTGATTTGCACATAATTTAAAACTTTGAGTGGCTATGACTCCATAACAGGCAAAACCTTGAGCAGCTGGTTTGAAAGCAAATGCTTTGGAACGGACAGGCTGGGGTCAGGGGGTGGGAGGGAAAGGGCGGCACTTCTTTCTAAAATATAGCTCCTAGGTAGATCCCAACACACCTAGATTCACATCTGAACTTTAAACGACAGGGTTTCAGGTGCCCACCACATCTCATCTGGCTGCCTCCACCTGGACCTTCTAATTGCCCAGCCACCTTACCTATGACCTCAAGGGTCACCCTCAGGTTCAAAACTGGTACACATCTCAGTGCCTACTTCCACCTCCATGGACTTTCCTAGTGGCATCCTTAGAAGTTTTCTCATAAAAAGTGTGTGAACCCAGTGTCTACACTTGAGGATACAAGGTAATTATTTTTCTTGTTCTCATGTCTCCTGCCTCTACCATTTTTGCCAAAACACTTACCATAGTTGAAACGATGTCAGAAATCCCTTGCAAGCACCTTCACCTCCAGCACCTGGTTTCCTCTGAAGAGCTTCACCCAAACAGCCAGGTGACTCCTCTGATTTTTATTCACAGTTTCTCTTAGGTCTTTCAGAGAAGTTCCGGTTACTCCAGCAGTCTATGAAATGTAGTTTCCTTAGTATCATTACCCTAAACAACCATTTCCCAAGCACATGATCTACATGAGACAGATACAAAGGCATACAACTCATTCTTGACCATGTGCTGCAGTGACTGGGTAGAGTTTCTCTTTAAAACTGAGTTCTTAGGGAAAGGAAACTAAAGGGCACGAGATACGAGTTGTTGACCAATCCCAGAGCTACTTTCTTTTGATGAGTTGCCACAAGATCCCAGACTAGCAGCATGACTCCTTTTCAGTGTTTGTGGGAGGCCACCAGCGAGCCAGAACAGCAAGGTTTTCAATATGCTGTGCTGGACGGTCCAGAGCTGGGTTTTCTACCTGAATCAGACAGCAGGGCTGCCCTGCTCTCACCACATTTGACCAACAGAGGAATTTTGAGAAAAGAAGCAATAATAGAATGAAAATGCTCCTAAGGTCCACTTTGCCATCTTGATAAGGACAACACCTGTCAGTGCAGTTCACCCTGCCAGGAAGCTTTGAAATTTTCATTTCAACACATAATTTCAGGCGTACCTCTGCAATCACTTATTATGTCAAAAGGAAGCTGGTACATAGAATTACACATGTACAAAATCTAGATAGTTGGAAACAGAATTATAGAATTTCCAGGGTAGAGTGTGTTTTACACTAAAAGCTATGTCTCAAGAATATTAATTGCAGCATTATTTGCAAAGGCAAAAAAATTAGAATCAAACTAACTGTCCATTAATGGGAAACTATTTCAATAAATTGTATTGCCTTTATACATTAGAATGCCATTTATCTATTAAAAAGATTGAAGTGGACCATCCGGTGTGACTCAGTGGCTGAGCATTGACCCATGAACTAGGAGGTCGCAGTTCAATTCTCAGTCCGAGCACATGCCCAGGTTGCTGGCTGGATCCCCAGTGGCAGGCATGCTGGGGGCAGCAGATCAATGATTCTCTCTCACGATTGATGCTTCTCTCCTTCTTCCTTCCTCCTTCTCTCTGAAATAAATAAAAATATTAAAAAATAAAAAGAATGAAGTGGCTTTATGTGTATGGAATAAACTATAAGATCCACTGTTTATTGAAAAATTAATGCGAATAATAGTGTGTATAGTAAGTGACTATATAATAAAAGCATAATATATTATTTATACTAGACGTCCTTCCAGACAAAGCTGGAGCTGCAAGGAAGCCTGGGTCCCGAGTGCCAGAGGGAAGCTGGTGCCAGCAGATGGGGGAAGGAAGGCTACTCTTGCATGAATTTCATGCATCCGGCCTCTAGTATGGATATAATATCTCTGGAAGGACATATAAGAAACTGGTAATGATGGTTGTCCTGGGCTAAACAATTGGATGACTAGGAAGGAAAGGTAGAAGAGAGATTCTTTTTACTTTATACCCTTTTATAGCTTTTTAATTCCAAAGTGGGTACTTGAATTAGCTATTCAAAAGATATTTTGAAGTCTACATTTATTGGTGATGGGTTACTATTGTTCATGCCTTCCTATCTGATTCTATAAATAAACAGATATTGTTTTTTTCAAGTAGTCCCACAGCCACCAAGAAGAGGAAGTGTGGGAGTCCTGTGAGTGGCACGTGTGGAGTCTGGGGCTTCCCAGTGAGAGGAAAGATTCCTATGATCATGTGGAAGGGGAGATCCCATGATTGCTAAAGGATTCCCAGCCAGCATTAGTGGGGTTAGTCACTGACTTTATAACTTAATTGTCAAAAATTTCAAACACAGATTCCAAAAGATTTTTGATGGGGACTACTTTGACCAAGGGGAACATTTAGGGAAGTTCTCGTTAGCTGATAGGAGAGAAGTTCATATCACAGAAGGTAAGCAGTAGGCATGGGGCAGGAGTATTTTTCCCCCCCATAATACTCATTACTTAGATTTATGTTTGCTTGTTTATTTTATTGTGTTTCCCTACTTCAAAAATGTAAGCTCCTCCAAAACTAGTTTGGCTCAGTGGATAGAGTGTCGGTCTGCAGACCAAAAGGTCCCAGGTTTGATTCCAGTCAAGGGCATGTACATTGGTCGCGGGCACATCCCCAATGGGGGGTGTGCAGGAGACAGCTGGTCGATGATTCTCTCTCATCGATGTTTCTAGCTCTCTATTCCTCTTCCCTCCTCTCTGTTAAAAAATCAATTAAATGTAAGCTCCATGAAGGCAGGAGCTTTGTCTGTCTGGCTCCCTGCAGCATCCTCAGTTCTCCGTGCTCAGCACATGGAAGATACTCAAGTTGATCCCGGACTATAGGACCATAGCATCCAGTGGCTCTCCAGTTTCTGGCTGCTAGTTAGGTATTCATCTGTTAGAAGGTAGTAAAGACATGGCCATGAGAACCAGGATTTAAGACTCCAGTCTCTGAAACAGTGGTCAAAGCAGAATTCAAACCTCAAAGGAACTGGAGAATTAAAAAAAAATACTTAGGCATGGGTTAGGTATCAAGTCAAGGAACCATCTAGCAGAATGAAGTAGGGGCTTGGCTTAAAAAAAAGAAAAAGAAAAAGAAAAATAACCATCCAGCAAACACATTAAAATTAGACAATTCCCCCAAACAGGTAACAAACATCATAACAATAAAATAGAAGACACAGCCCCATAATTAGGTCTACAGCTTACAGGAAGGGCAGGATTATCACCCGAGCAGGTCTGCTGCTGATGGTTAGGATGGACAAGTCATTGACTTTGCATCTCAGTTGGTTTCAAGAGTCTAAGCTAGGACATAGGTAAGTGAGCCCAGTCAGAGAGATCAGATAGCTAACTTAGACGGTTTCAAGTACTCACATCCCTGGGAAATTTACACTGTGAGCTATTTTTGTTTGAAGGTGGAAATTTCAGGGAATATTCAGCTAAAGAGCATCCAAGAGTTAGAAATGAAGAGTCTAACCAGGCAGGAAATGTCTCCCTGTGCTCCATAGTGAGAGCTACAGACCTAGATAGGGAATAATTGACTCTGAAGAGATAAATAGACTGAATCTGATGACTTGTATTGGTTTTGGTAGGTCTGATTTTAGGGAAACGACACATAATTTCTGTTTTATCTATTATCTGGCCAGTCCAGAGCACACAAGTGTTAACTTAGGCATAGGTAGAATCAGACTATGTCTCCGGGCCTTCAGTTTGGTCAAAACATTTACCTTATTTGAAATGTTAGCAGTCTCCTAAAATGTGTCTCTAGTTCTCACTCACCTGTGACTTCCTCTAGTTATTTGAGTTTCTTGTGCAGACCTCAGGCTTATTGAGAAGGACTAGGTCACCTGGGTCATGCTTACAAACATCTGTTTTGAATAGTGAACATTATCTGTCTTTGGCAGTCCTTACTTTTTAAATGGATATTTTGCTAGAGAAATTCAGGAATTTATCACTTTATTTTGGAAAACTGCAAGAGACAGTTAACTGTTCATTAAGCTTTGGCAAAAACAACTTGTCATCTAAAGACACTGTTCTTACAAAATGTATGATCACCACTTCTGTGGTTTGCTTTGTTAAAATGTGTGTTTTTGAGAACATTTTAGAGTGTTAGTAGGATTGAGTCTATACAATTATTGTAGTGTCTTGGTAGTCAGTAATTTTGCATAGAAGCAGGAGCTGTAATTTTCTAAGACTCTCATACATGTAGCCCAACAATAGTGAAATTGAGACTCAAATACGTAAGCTAATGGGATCTTAATGGCTGTAGATTTCACTGGCTTTAGTATCTAGTACTTTCCATATTCTACTGCATTATTTTAAATGATAAGAGAATGCTTGCTCATTGTAGAAAATTTTTATTTAGGTGACATTGGTTAACAAAAATATATAGGTTTCAAGTGCACAACTCAGCAAAACATCATCTGCACACTGCATTGTGGGCCTATCGCCCAAAGTCAAGTCTCCTTCAGTCCCCATTTATCCTCCATTTGCCTCCATCCACTTTCCTCCATCCCCTTTCCCTCTGCTATCACCATACTGTTTTCTGTGTCTATGAGTATATATATATATATATATATATATATATATATATATATATATATCCCATCATCTTTTTTTCACCCAGCCCACCCCAAACCACCTGCCTTCTCACAGCTGTTAAGTCTGTTCTCTGTTATCTATGTTTCTGTTTCTATTTTGTTTGTTAAATTACTTTGTACATTAGATTCCACATATAGTGAGATCATATGATAATACATGCTCACTGTAGAAAAAACTTAAGGCACAACAAAACATAAGGTTTCAAAAATACAAATGACCCCCCTCATCCCATCAACCAGAGCTAATCACCCTTACCATTTTTTCATTTTCTTCTGTCGTACATTTATATTCCACTAGCTTTATTGATTTGATTAGATCAAGCATGTATTTATTGAGTTCCACCACTGGACTTGGAATCCTAAAATAAAAGACATGGTCCACATCTTAAGTAAACCAAATATTTTCTCAGGAAGGTAATACATATTTGAAAATAAAAATCTAGAGACAAGACTAAATTAAATATGACCAAGTGCCAAACGTGCCTGCGTTCGGGGCTAACTCAGTCAGCTGTGATTCCTAAGACAGGTATCCTATCTAATAAAAGAGTACTATGCAGATTGACCATCACTTCAGCGCACAAGATGGCTGCCCCATGTGGTCAAAGATCCTGCCCTTATGTGGACACAATATGGCCAGCAAGGGAGGGCAGTTGGGAGGCACCAGGCCTGCAAGGGAGGGCAGTTGAGAGGAACCAGGTCTGCAAGGGAGGGCAGTTGGAGGCGATCAACCCTGTAGGGGAGGGTAGTTAGGGGTGTCCAGGCCAGTAGAGGAGGGAAGTTGGGGGCAAACAGGTTGGCAGGGGAGCAGTTAGATATTAGGCTGGCATCGGAG